GGATGACTCTGTTATTTCGCTTTCCTAGTTTTGTTTTATTAGGATATTGTGGGGTCTGTCCCAACATCCATCTCAGTATTATAGAGGCTTCATAGACAGTCAGACAGTTAGTATTGAGTCTCTCATCTATGTATTTGCAGATACTTTGTTTTGAGACATAAGTTGCCATTTTGGCTAAGATGTTATTATTTAAACTATTGCATTAAGTTTATTCTGTTGAGTTAAGTCTTCCGCTGAGTTAAGTAAGCCAGGACAAGGGTCCGCTTGGGGCCAGCGATGGTCTTCGAGTGCTGGCCACGTCCAGGGTGTAGGCTGGAGGCGTGACACTGTTGAAGACAAATGCCTCTCTTAGTGAGTAATTCAAAGCTCTCACTCAGCAAGTCATTCAGGCTCATGTTGATGCAAATGAGAGAATGTCGTTGCTAATGAGAACTCTCAACCCCTTCCCCCCTCCGTCCTAAAAGAGTCGTGTCTCTTTGTTTCCCTTTCTTTCATGTCAAAACTCTAGTGGCTCTCTGTAGTGTTGATTGATTCATGTGGTCAGTGTTTGTGATCTAATGTTATTTACCTATTGTGCCTGTTTTGTATGGTTTAATGTTATGTTTTTGCTTATTTGTGCATGTTCTATGTGGCCTTGTCCCTGAATTTTAAAAATGTTTTGCACGCAACTTGCATATGTTTACTGCTACTCCTTTTCAATGATGTCCAAAGGGGGAATTTTTGGGTAAGCTGTGTTTGGTAGGGTAAGCTAAGCTGTTTAGAAGGGCACTAAACTAAGGGGGAACAGTGAAAGCTGTTGAGAAATTAGAAGGGCACTGAACTAAGGGGGAACAGTGAAAGGGGGAATTAATGTGTTTTTGAATTAATGCTGAACACTCATGTGAGGTGGCTTGTAGGTTGTTGTCATCATCAAAAAGAGGGAAAATGATAAGTCTTGATGCTCCTAGAAGTTTTGATGATTACCTCACAAGTGCAGGGACCCGGTCCTCTGCAGAGTATGGTAGTCCAGGTCAGAATGTTATACAGCTAAAAAGTTGTTTGCGTCAGCGGTTGGTGAAGGCGTCAGAGTACTTCACCAATCAGAAGGGACTCGTTTGTTTGTCCAATGAGTATTAACTCTTGATGTGAGATATATACAACTTGACAAACAACAAATCACTCATTCAT